CAGTATTTAATAAATAGACTGTTTCACTATAACATACATTTAGTCAATAGAAAATGGTATAAAAATTAAATAATTTCAAAGATGTGGAATGTATCACTCTATAAATAAATTTAATAATGTCATAGTAGTATTTTGTAACATTAAAGTGAAATTTGTTTACTCTGTTCTCTACAAGTTTTAATAATAATAATAATAACAATAATAATAGCAAAAGTAGTAGTAGTAATAGTAATAATAATAATGTAATAGTATATCTAGTACATTTTACACATACAAAAATTTGAAATATCATTTCATACTGAAAAAAATAAAAAAATTTTTTTGGTCATTAATAAAAGAAGTAAGTTTACCATAACAACAACAACAAGAAGAAGAAGAAGAACAAAAATACAGTGTAGTACATTTAAATTAAAAAAATTAACTTTGTTTATAATGTTTATAATTAATTAGATGTTCGTTGAAAAAACCAGGAAGTATTGAATAGTTATTTTATTTCCGTATAAGACTCTTCAGAAGTGAATATGTACGATCCAACTATAAGGAATAAAAATTTTGAACTTTCAAGCTGGTATATATGTCTAACTTTAATCAATTCACGGTATTAATCAATCATCATACATTTCCTGTGTTAGATAACAGTCTCATAGCTGATATGGATGAACTCCACCAGTCGCGGTTTGTAATTTGAACTCTCGGAGTAGCATCTCCAAGTTAATTGCTAAACAACATATGATGTTCATTAGTATTGGTGGTCGAGGGGGGAGTTTTGTACTCTCATAGTTTTACATCACGGACTGTCTGTTAATGTTGACTTGAAGTAATTGAAAAATTAATTAACTTTTTATGTCATACGATCTCAAGGAATTTCTTATTTATATAAAATACTTTCATAGTGAAACTATTCATAATATATCTATTTATATTTCCCCAATAGATCATTTCAATACAGAAACGAGTAAAACAAAATTGAAGCCAAATGTATTTATAAATCACCTAAACTATATAATAAGATGAAGTCTCATTGAAATCGTTAAGTGAAATAAGTTAGACCACTACTTTAAACCTTTAAGCACTAAATGGCTGTTCCGTTCTAATATGCAACTCAGCTGTGCGCATCCACGACTTTGAAACTGGGAGTCGAACCTAGGACCTTTATTTTCTTGTTCAAACTCTACCAAACAAAATGATGTGGAAAATAAGTTTGTTTTTAGAATATGAATAGGCTTATCCGGTCATCATGTTGTACAGTTTATAGTTGGGGACAGATAAACGTTAAACAAGTAGAATGTTAAAATGGATGTTGCTTTAAAATAGGTTGAAAAGTTCCACGGGAATAATTTTGTTTCTCATATGAAGCAAGTCATAATAAAGATTCTTTTCAATAGAAGTAAACACGCAACGGTTTATTTAAAATACAGAGTTAAAAACAAACTAAAGCGAGTAAAAGGTAGGATATTTTGAAAGTGTATTTTCACGGAAGCTGTATGAATTCGGTGAATCTAAATTCTATTGAAAAGCTTTAGAAAAGTCCTATCCCCTGATGAATCTTGTGTTAGCACAATTAAAGAAACTCATGTTACAATGAAATAGATGTCCAGATAACTTTTGTTTTCAATAGTTGTTTAGTTAGAAATCTGTCCAGCATCAAAACTATCTCCAGATTGAACAACGCTTAAGGACATTCTACCCAAATATTTGTCATGCACTAATTAATAACTAACTTTAGTAAAAGTCCAAATGGCTCTGTTGACTTGACACAACCAACATAGTTAATTAATTTCCGGATGAGATTGTGGGAATCAATATCAAGACCAATTGTATTGACTATACAATTCCACTCCCGTAATAATCATCATATAACTTTAGTAAATATATATTGCTATGAATCTATGATGTTCAGCGGTAGATAATTTTATTCTTAATTTTACCTTTATCGACTTTTTCAAAGTTAGGTCAAGTCATTCGTGAAGTAAATTGTAACATAACAGTTATAAATTCTTTTTATTTACTGTGGCACCATGAGATTTTTCGGTAAGATTGTGAGATTTTGTCATAATTTATCGGAAGATTAGAGAATTGAAATAACAAGTCAGTGAATAGTGGAAATCTGTATCAAATATTATCGTAGACAACCTCCTCTCGAACAAAACGCATGATATCATTATTACCTGAATATTATAAACGACTAAGTGCTATGTTGTTAATATCATGAACTGATAGTGGTTAAAGACATCGGAAAGCTGTCTTATCTTCATATAACACTATCCAGAAGTCCACATATATGACTTTACTACAGGAATTCAAAACCAAGACCTGTGGTCCCGTGCATAAACGTTTAATCCCTAGATCAATGATTCAGAATTCAATAACTAACACATTGAACCAAGTCGAATGTGGGTCCATTGCCCATCAAGTACAGCGGAAGATGGTTGCATGATATTACGAAATGGTTGAAGTTAAACATGTACATCGTTTAATGTATTCTCAGTAATCTAGAGGTTAAGCATTCACTACGAGACTGAAAATTCTGGATTCGATTCCTAGTGAAGGAAGTTGTGGTTACGCATTCTCAAGGTGTCTTTTACTAAAATGTAATAGCTATCTAATGCTTGCCGGTTCTGTATGGTCGCTTAATGAATACAAGTCCGTGATTTCAATAAATAAATTGTAACAATTATCCCCATTAATTCTTGTAGTGATCTAAGTAAGACAATTTAAAGTCAACTAAAGAAACAAAAAATGAAATAGGTGAAATTATGAAGTACGAATTTTTATATTGATAAGTTTTTCAGTTGTTTTTTTTTACATTAAGACATAGATTATCAGTGTAATTATTCCTCCTATGATGTGTACAAGTAAACCTAGATATCTATATATCATAAAAAGTTATTTTGCGAATTCAGAATCATAGATACACGTTTGAAAATAGTTACATAGGCAGATAGATAGAGAGAGACAAAGATGGAATAATTTCGGGTCTATGAATATTCATTTATGAATATAACACTATAACAACTATAGAAAAGTGTATTTAAGTACACACTAACTACTACACACAATAATCATATAATTTAAACTTGAATCTAAATAAACCCATACACATATAAGAAAGTAGATATATATATATATATATATATATATATATATATATATATATATATATTGGTGAATGATAAAAATTTTACAGCAAACCAAAAAAAAGAAAAAAAACAGAATGAAAATGTTAAAACGAAAGAGAGAGAGAGAGGGGGGAAAATAGGTAGCCCAACAAAGACTATAAACGTTTACAAAGTTTAAATCGAATAAAAATGAAGATTTTTTTTCACTCTCTGATCCCCCTACTTTTTTTTCACAGATCATAAAGTTAATTTTACTGTTTTAAATTGGGAAACTTTCAATATTATCAAAAATAAAAAAAAATAATCCTCCATTATTTTCTAGCTAACTGTCTATGTCTGTACATATATATATATGTTTGTATGTGTGTACATATGCATTCCTCTACTTATTTATTATTTAATGAATATCAATTTTATTCAATCTGTGGTTACGTTTATTTCTTCTTTGAAGTAATCATTCAATAAATCATAATAACCATTGATGATTACGTAATACATATCATAATAAATTATACAACTGAAGTAAAAAAAATAAAAATAGAAACCCTAGTAGACTATTATTTAATCTTATTTTATGAATGAATATAAGAATTTATAATTTTTACAATGCTACTATAATGTGTATAATAAATTTTCGAAATAGTTCTTATGTTCATTGTAAATGTTTGTGTGTAGAGATAATCTTTTGGGTACAGTTTTAAACGCTAATTTGTTTCAATTTAAGTTTTGTAATAGTTTGTACTCAGTAATAAGGTACATCTGTAATTTTAAGGGAAGTGATGTTTACTACAGTATTCCAAACTGTATCACTTACTGTTTCAGTCAGAGGTAATATCACTGAGCTATATATTTGAACACATAAATATTGGTACAAAGGGGAACCGTACACACATACACAACACAAATCACTTGATTTGTGTGTGGGTTGTGTTACTGCCCGGATGGTCGGACCGAAGCAGGTGGTTTTCTTAAGGGGCCACACCCGAAACCTTGGACCTAAAGGTCTAATCAACAAGTCATTGACAAGTCTATTAACCATTGGATACTGGTTCAATAACCTAGAGATTAAGAGATCACAATGAAACTTAAATGTTCAGGGTTCGATCCCTGGTGGGATCAGAGTTGTACATTACTGTAATGAAACAACCATTCAATATTTCAGAATGTAAACAACAAAGTAAAAATCATAAAAAAATAATTTACTAACAGGATCAATCCTAATATTCACTGATCATCTGAATATTAATGAAATCTGTTGTTTCTGGTGCTTTTAGGTTTTTCATGGTGATCTAGCTTTAATTGACTCATGATCTCAACTATTAAAATTACTATAATATCCACAAAAAGATTCCTTCTGATATTAATCAACATATGCTCACTAGTGACTGGCTTCAAGAAATATTTCTTGGAGTTCTAGTGAGAAGTAGTGACCAGTGGAGTTCAACCAGGTCTGTTGTGAGATAGTAACTCACTGAAGACAATGGTGGACGGTGGGGCGATTTCGTGGTTTGGTTGAAGTTAGACATTGACGCCAATGGATTCCAGTTCAGTGGTCTGCAGGTTAAGCGTCTGCGCTCGAGACCGATATGTCCTGTATTTGAATCTCGCGTGGCAGGATCGTGGATGCTCACTGCTGAGGAGTCTCATACTAGGACAGAACGGTAGTCTAGTGCTTCCAGGTTTTCAATGGTTATCTAACTTCAATTGACTTATGATCACAACTATTAAAATTACTATAATATCCCCTTCTGATATTTGTTTTTGGTTTTTCTTTTTTGATATAATTTCGTAAATTCATAATTTATTAATCAAATTGAACTTGTTTTAAAAAGAAAAGATATAGAATTTTCTAAGTTTTTTTTTTACCATTTTATTCTTTAGTGTACAAATTCCTATTCAGAATTATGGGATCCAATTAAAAATGAAACAAAATTTTCAATGAATGTTGATCCATCTATTTCTATTTCAAATAATTCAATAAATTCAATTGAAAATAATCATAATAATGAAAATAATGATTATAAATTTTCTACTGTACAATGTAAAAATTTACCCTATGAATTTACAAGATCAAATATTCATAATTCATGTAATGTGACGGAACAACTTTGGTCATCGTCATCATTATCATCATCGTCATCATCATCAACAACATCAACATCATTATCATCATCCTCATCGATATCGGAACCATCAGCTGTAGAATCATCGTCATCAACATCATTAGACAGATTAGAAGATAAACGAACAACATTCTCACAATCATTTGAATTAACTAATTTACATTGTACTTCATGTCATGAATGTATACATGATAAATTATTCTTATGTATGGATAATAAATATTGGCATTTGAATTGTTTAAGATGTTATAAATGTGGTATTACATTACAATGGGAGAAAACATGTTTTGTTAAAAATGATATGGTTTTCTGTCGTGAACATTATAAAAGGTTAGTGGAAATAGAAGTTTTGAATTAAAATAAAACATTATAATTAAAATGATTGATGGATATTAGGAAAAAGTGAATACCTACTTCATCTATTGATTGTGATTGCTCAAAGTTCTTTTTTAATGGATACATTTAGTTTAAATACATGATAATGAGTGATGAGTATAGAACTCATATGGAATGTTAAATTTCTCATGACTAAAAATACATTTTGATAATTAGTACTAATTAACATGAGATCCAAGTATATGACTTGCTACCATTTACTTACAATCATCCAGTATTGTAAATGTATCATCTTTTTTTTAGCCGAAATCACTTCGATAGTTATTGTTTAAAAACAATACTAATATGAAAATTGATATGAGGTTAGGTAATTAAATATCAAATAGCATTTTGTTTTAAAAAAACGGTGGCATTAACTTAACAGTAACACCATGTATGAATCTAACAGAAAAGTGAACGAAAGTTTTTATCAGTAAGAGATTTGTATTCATATTTGATTGAGTGCCGAGAGAATAGGCTTTACATATGTATGTAAATCCACTATGTTGTGTTCGAATTTATTACCACTGTCAATCTAGAAGTTCTCGAACAAACTCTTCAGTTTATTTTGTTTAACAATAGTTTCCATTTATCTTTAATAATAATCGGTGTTAGTTTTAAAATCCTACATGAAGTCACCAATGCATACTGTATGGTGAGTAACATCTTTCCTTCAAGCATATATTTTTTAATAAAATGAACTTGGTTACCAAAGTTTTGATGAATTTCAATAAGTTTAAAACCTTAATTTTGAGCTTATTATCAGCTTCACTCACTTTTTTGTATTAAGCTCTAGATACCTAAGCCTTACGTAATTGCGAAAACATATTGCTAAAAATTTTCACATCCACTACTTACAATCCAAGGGATGGAACATTGTCTAAATATTCTTAAGTTACAACTTTATAATTGTTCAGAAATTTATATTTTCCTGAACCATCAGTATATCATCAAGAATTCAGTGTTACATAAGTAATTAAAACTAATCTGTTATAACCCTATAACAAAGTCGTCAGTTTTAAGGTGAAACCACTGTATTTTCAAACGTAACTATTTATTAGCATTACTTACTTGCGCCTGTTACCCCCAATGGAGCATAGGCTGTCGACCAGCATTCTTAAACCCACTCTGTTCTGAGCCTTCCTCTCTATTTTCACCCAATTACTATTCATTCTTCTCACGTCTGTCTCCATTTGTCTGCTTGGAGCACCTCTGAGGCTACTACCGGTCTCAAGCTCTGATAAAGAATGAGGGTTTGGCATGGAATTAGCGACCCCATCCCGTAGAAAACTAACTCGCTACAAAACATGCTATTTAGAAAAAATAATTCAAACCATTTATTAACATTAGGAATTGTTCATATTATTAGATTACATATATTATTGTTTTTAATCGAATCTACTCATAAGGATATTTATGTGGATTGTCGCGTATTAGTAGCATAGATTTTCAACAATGCTTTGTTTTCTAAGGTGGATGGATTAATCACGAAGCTTTCATTGTTATTTTCAGACAACAGTAACAACGCCTACCTCATGTGAAAGTGACTTTTCTGATCTATTAAATAATAATGAAAGCTTTATCCAGTCAACAGAATGCACTATTGGTAAAAGAATCCATCCGAACTAAAAAAAATCTTATCGTTTTAAGTATATTGATTTCTGACCATCGTCAATAGAGTAAACACTCATTGCTATCTTGATTTTAATGCTTTCAATGATACAGTGGTTACATCAGGCTGGCGAATCCCAGATGGGACGAAATGGGCGTTCCAGATTCCACTGCTAACCATATTCCATCTATTCTTATATGAATTATTATTACTGTTTCCGCTTAACCGATTGGAGATTAGCTTTTCTACTTTATAAAATCTATACCAATCATAGATAAAAAAAATTATTTCGAATTTTTCTTGACAATACTTATCTACTTATCATAAGTCGTAAAAAAAGTGAATGAATTTCAGGCACCATACTGTTGATAACTTGAATTGATCGAATAAACGAACATATGAATAAATATGGATGGTAAATTGAACATTTTTTTAAAAAAAAACACAACTAAGTTGGTTGACATTTCATTGAATCTATCAATAGTTACAAACTATGACGTTTCCATCTAACCTAATCTCTTATCTTTCACTACAGTCTCTATGTTTTCATCATCATTTCCTGTGGCTAATTTGTACGTTTATTTGAATGACAAGATTAGTGAGAATATGATGTGTGAGAATGACTATAGTGTTTATCCGTGATAATTTCCTTCTCGGTTTCTTTTCTTGTTGTGCTATTATGTCTGATACTAACTAATATTCCTTTATTCTATAAAACATCTGTGTGCACACAATATCTAACATGAAAATTTAGTATGACAAAAAAGAGGGCAAACAACGTAGACAACAATTAACTATTTAACTTCATTTAATTTTAAATCAAATATAAACCAAGTAACTAGGTGAAATTTCGATTGTTCACTTTTAATTCTGTAATATATTCAACTTATTTTTTTTCTCCCTCTCTGATATTTGTCTGTTCTAAACAGAAATGATATTAACCCAAACGATGCATGAAATTTGACATGTATTTATTATTATTTTCTTTTTGATGAAAAGAAGCAAATAATATATTCAAATGTTGATGATAGAGATGGCTAGTGGGAACTGTGTAAATAGGACAGATTTTGCACATATATATGTATATAATCTTTATTGCTGTTATTGGAACACTAGTATGGTGCACTTGCTTGTGCTGAGATCAGGTTAAACTAATGAAGATTGCACCATAGTCAATGAATCATTATTAGTTCTATTTAAATGTATGTTGTGGTCTATTGTGCTAGTATTTGTATGTATAGATTTACGTATAAAAGTAACCAAATGCATTTATTCATGTCTATAAAGTTTTATGTGATTTTTGTACTGAAGAAAAAAAACAACACGACATTACAATTGTGTATTATTTACCCATAAGTTACACACAATATGTGTACAAAAACAAACACATACATATACATTTGTGCATGTTTACAGTGTGTGTGTGTGCGTACTGCTTGCGAGAGAGACAATTGACAGTTAAACTAGTAATGAACATTAATATAAGAATTTTATTAGGATTTTTAAATGCATCATGTCAACATGAATACAACTAGACAGTGAAATAAATGAATGAAAGATATAAGGAAAATAAAGAACAATTTAAAGAAATCATAGAATAAAAGCACATAAACTAGCTGATTATTATTAAAAGACAAAATGTAATATACATTAGAGATTATTTTAGATTATAGTAATATCGGATATATGTAGTTGAGGTAATTATATAGCACGTGAATATATCTGTCTATATGTGTATATGGATAGAGAAATTTTCGCAAATCAAGTAATTAGTTTTTTTTTTCATCTTTTTTCATTTTTTTTTTACTCTAGAAGTAAATAATCGACAAAAAAGCATAGCAATATCTTGACCAAAAATCTTTTGAATTTTTAAGGAAAAAAATCTAAAAAATTTTTTTCTGGCCAAAATAAAAAAATCATACCACATGAGTGTAGTTAGCAGGGAATAGAAGGAAAATAATAATAATAATAATAATAATAATAATAATTATTATTATTATTATTACTATTATCGTTATCATCATAAAGGACATGGATACTACCAATAACTGAAAATGTAATGAAATTAAATTTAATAAAAAAAATAATAAATTACTCATGTAAAATTTCTAAAAGTAATAGAATTCTGATTATCAATACAATAAATCAGTGATTTGAACGAACAACTATGCAAGTACATGTATACACATACACATACACATATAGGCAGGCAGGTAAATAGGCAAGTTCATACAAGAACCTAAAACTAAATCTTAAATTTCATAAAGAGAAATGTACGAAACGAAAATGTTGTTTCATTTCATTTGCATACTGTTAAACTGTTAAATAAAATAATCATAATAAGACTAGAAAATCTCCAAAATAGAATAAGAGAAAAACGTATATATATATATATATATATATATATATATATATATATATATATATATATATATATATATATATATAGTTAATATTATATTGGTCTAGACACTTTTGAAGATAACACCGATGTATTTATACATTTGTATATTCGTTTATGATTATTATTATTATCGTTGTTGTTTGCATTCCTAGTGTGGTTACAATCACAGCATGACAAGTTATAAATTATTTGCTTTACTATTGGGTTGTATGATTGTTTTCTTTCCAAATTTCTATTTACTGTATTAAAGAGGAAAATTTAAAGAACGACAGATGAAACAGGTAGATAAATTCAAATGTTGATATTGAAGTTAAAACGACAATAATAATAATAACAACAACAACTAGTTCACTTGGAAGAAATGACAAACAATAAAATCAAATGTATACTGTTAAATTGCAAAGAAAAAAAAAGTAGATATATATTCTATACTTGTACTAATCATAAAACAGATTAAAGATAGTAGAGTTTGATTATTCATTATTATTATTATATATCTTGATATGAAGCAAGTTGATAATAATATTCTTCAAACGAAAAAAAAATGACAAAAAAACTGTAAATTCAGAATGATCAGGAATTATTGGGAAAAACAATTCAGTCCAATATCGTATAAAAGTACAAAGATTTATGGATACACAATTTAAGCGTACATTGTGAATACACACTGTTGAGGAGTACCATATTAGAATCAAACATCGATTCACTATGTTTCTTTTGGTCTTAATAAGATTAATCATTAGTGTAAATTATAAAAATTCAGCAATATACTTTCTTGAAAGCAGTATGATATAAAAAGTTTATTCACTGATTCCATTGTAGATGATGATGATGATGATGATAATGCTAACATGTTTCTTCTCTGTGTACGTATTTCTTTGCTTTTTATTGTAATAGTCATTCTAGAAAAAAGAAGAACAATATATTAAACAGTTTTTT